AATGGGCACAAACTTGAGTATAAGAAGTTCCACCTAAATGTGAGAAGGAACTTCTTTACTGTGGCAGTGGCAGAGCACTGGAACAGGCTGCCCAGGGAGGTGGTGGAGTCTCCTTCTCTGGAGACATTCAAAACCTGCCTGGAGACGTTCCTGTGCAACCTGCTATAGGTAGACCCGCTCTGGCAGGAGGGGTTGGACTGGATGATCTCCAGAGGTCCCTTCCAACCCCATGTGATTCTATGATTCTCTGGAACACAGAAGTGGTAATTAGGAAAAAAAAATAACAAAAAAACACTAGACTAATTGAAAAGGGCTTACCAGTTCCCAACACAAATATTGCTTTGCAATTGTAGTGTATTTCCAGAGGCTTAAAAATTCTTCTCTCTTTTACACTCATCCCCCTTAAGGAAGTACCCACAAAATGAAAGAGGATGTACAGTGTGTTAGCTCACTTGGAAACGTCCCAGTGTGAACTAAGTCACTTTAAATTTACTGCCACATCAAAAGGTCAGCACGTTAACTTGCGTTGAAATCATAATTTCATTGTCTGCAGCAGGATTTTATTACACACTAGATTATGGAGTTTGTTTGTGGTGGTATTTTTTTTTTCTGTGCTGCTGAAAATTTTGGGACAAGTTGCTGTCAGGGTGGAGAATACTTATGGGACCTGGTGCATTTTCCACTACTGAGGCAAAACCACAAATAGGGTGGCATGCGACCTGCAGGAGCTCATATCAAAAGGTGTGGAAAAATGAGCAGCGTAGACATTACAGTTTTTGTGCCGAGACCTGCTCATGGCAGACCCCATCCATTCAATTTTTAGCTACTGTTCACTTTGCAGTATTTTCCTTTCACAGTGTGCCATGGAATTCCTTCCTGATGCACCAAAACTGCTCTGCTGCTTGCAGGCTGGCTGCCACCAGCCCTAATTTGACATCTGTGAGGGGTGGAGGGTTTTTAGGAAGAAAAAAAAAAAAAAAAAAAAAGAGATACTTTGTCTCTCCACTGGTGCTTCATGCATGTGCAACCTGCTCTGGGTGGACCTGCTTTGGCAGGGGTGTTGGACAAGATGATCTCCAGAGGTCCCTTCCAACCCCATATCATTCTGTGATTCTTTTTAACAAGTTGGCTGTGGTGGGGTTTCAGCTTCAGCAGGTCAGTTAAAGGCCCAAGGTCAGAGTTAGGTCAAAAGTTTGCCCAAATTCAGGAGACCACCTTTGCTCTACAGTCAGTGGAGAGGGAGATGCATTTCCATACAGCAGGATGTTATCTTGCTGGTGGACTTCAGTGGAGACCAGGTAACAGGGCCATCTGCTGAAGGCTACGCCTGCTTTAGGCACCTCAAACTATGATATGAGTTAGATTTCTTGAAATGAGCTGGTGCAATATAGACAGTTGGCAAAGATTGTTTGTGAGTGCCGATGGGCTTGAAGAGATGACAGAGGTTTATGGGATTTTTTTACATCCCTCTTGAGCCACAATCAGCAGATTTTCTTCACGACAGGGACCAGAACAAACATTTTGCAGAGCTGAGAAGGCTGGGTGGCTGCAACATTGGTCTTACACATGTGTTGTGCATCTTGCTTTACCTGAAGTTTGCAGGAATCGTTTTCCTGACTCCATCGGTTGCTGTAAGCGCCCACAGCTGAGAGATGGCCCTTGCTGCCCTAAACTTGTGACCTGCTAAAACATTGTTAGCCACCCTACTGCAACACGTCTGCTTTGGTGGGCTCTGCTGCCCTTCCTCCAGCCCGTTAAAATGGCAAAGCTATGAGAAGGTAAACACCAAAATCTGGCTATCTCGCTTAATTACTACAATAGATGTTTAGAGGCAAAAGCTATGTGTACTCTTTAATAGCATTACACTTGGGAAAAGAGAAAGCAGAAGTGACAAAAAGGGTGATGAGGTGGATTTACTTGAAGGCAGCTGTGGCTTTTTTTTTTTTTGGTGTTGTTTTGCAGCTGGTGGGCTCTGAACTGCGAGAAAGGAGAGGAAAAGTACCATTTGCTCCCCATCACCGAAATGGCCTCAGTTGCCCCGCGCTGAGGTGAGGGTCTGGCTCCACAGGCACTGGGCTGCCCACGGGACACCATGGAGGCTGTGCTTGGGGAAGACGGGTTTCCTGCTGGGGTGGATTTCTCTGTGGTAAAACACACGGCAAAAATGGAGGGAGGGAGAGAGAAGGGACCTCAGGGAAGGTCTGGGACAGGAAGGCCCGAGGCCCCTCACGGGGAAGCCCAGGCCGCTTGCGGCCTTCATGGGACACAGCTGGGTGAAGGCCATTCCTGTGCCCTGAGGTGTGTGACAGCCGCTGGGCTAACGCCCCCCCATCACCCGTGAACATGGGGTGTTGAAGGGTTGCCCCCACAGGAATGGGGTGTCCGGGGGCTGCCCCCACAGGAGGCCGATGGCACAGGGAGAACCGAGGTGTCAGCCGCCGGCAGACACCCTCGAACGGCTAGGGTGTCACTGAGGGGAGGCAGGCGGCTCCCCATGCTTAGTGGTGGCTGTCGGGGTGAGGCGTCCCCCCAACCCGCGGGCCCTGGGGGTGCCCTCAGGCGGGCGGGCGGGAGGAGCCGCCCCGCTCTCAGGCCGCGGCGGGAGCCGAGGGGAGGGCGGGGCGAGGCGACGCGGGGCGCGCGCGGCGGGGCCGTGTTTACATTCCGCCGCCTGCTGCACGTTGCCGCGGAATGGCGCGCTCCCATTGGCCAGGC